CCTGGGAAGCGCACTTTTGTGCAGGCAGAGTCCGGACTGTGGGGTCAGGCTCGGCCAGGTGCGGCACCTGGGGCTCCTCAGCCTCTGCTGGGCCAGATGAAGTCTCCTCCCCTTTGAGTGGTGCTGGGTTGCCAGGGGCGTTCTGCGCCGGCCTGACCGCCTGCCGTTTTGGAAGAGGCTGCGCTCGCCGCTTGCCGGTGGCTTACAGGGGGTGCACTCACTGAGAGTGACCCCGCTCCACCCTCTAGGGCGTCTTTGCGTGCTCCAAGCGCCCCTGGGGGTGTGAGTGAGGAAGGAGGGTGCAGGTGTGCCCAGCGGCGAGCTTTACCGTTCCCCGAAAGGAGAAGGTGTCCCCGTACCCCCAGGGGGAAAGAGGGTCCCATCTCCCCACCGGGTTAGAGGGATCTTATCCCCCTGGGGGCTGAGGGGCTCCGGACGCCCCTCACTAGCGCCCTCTAAAGGCAGCCCTGAGAAGTGCACCTTTGTGCAGGCAGAGTCCGGTGGCCTGGGACAGGCTCTGGCTGGGGGCGGCGCCTGGGGCTCTTCAGCCTCTGCTGGGCCAGGTGAGCACTCTTCCCCTTTGAGTGGTGATGGGTTGCCCGGGGCATTCCGCGCCGGCCTGTCTGAGTGCCGTTTTGGAAGAGCCCGCGCTCGCCGCTTGCCAGTGGCTTACAGGGGGTGCCCTCCGTGACAGTGACCCCGCCCCTCCCTATAGGGCATCTATGGGCACCCCAAGCGCCCCTGCGGGTGTGAGTACAGGAGGAGGGTGCGGGTGTGCCCAGCGGAGAGCTTTACCGTTCCCCCAATGGGGAAGGTGTCCCCGTACCCCCAGGGGGTAAGAGGGTCCCGTTTCCACACGGGTTATAGGGCCCTTATCCACCTGGGGGCTGAGGGGCTTCGGACCCACTCACAAGAGCCCCCTATCGGCGGCCTTGAGAACTGAACCTTTGTGCAGGCAGAGTCCGGTGGGCGGGGTCAGGTTTCGGCTGGGGGCGGCGCCTGGGGCTCATCAGCCTCTGCTGGGCCAAGTGAGGACTCTTCCCCTTTGACTGGTGCTGGGTTGCCCGGGGATTTCCGCGCCGGCCTGACTGCCTGCCGTTTTGGAATAGGCCCCACTTGCCGCTTGCCGGTGGCTTACAGGGGGTCCCCTCCCTGACAGTGACCCCGCCCCTCCCTCTACCGCATCTTTGGGCGCCCCAAGCGCCCCTGGGGGTTTGAGTGTGGGAGGATGGTGCGGGTGTGCCCCGCGGAGACCTTTACAGTTCCCCCATAGGGAAGGGTTCCCCGAACCCTCAGGGGGAAAGAGGGTCCCGTCTCCCCACGGGGTTAGAGGGCCCTTATCCCCCTGGGTGCTGAGGGGCTCCGGACTCCCCTCACCAGCGCCCCATAGCAGCGGCCCTGAGAAGTGCAACTTTGTGCAGGCAGAGTACGGTGGGCGGGGTCAGGCTCCAGCCAGGGGCGAAGCCTGGAGCTAATCAGCCTCTGCTGGGCCAGGTGAGGACCTTCCCCTTTGAGTAGTGCTGGGTTGCCCGGGGCTTTCCGCGCCGGCCTGTCTGCCTGCCGTTTTGGAAGAGGCCGTGCTCGCCGCTTGCCGGTGGCTTACAGGGGGTGCCCTCCCTGACAGTGACCCCGCCCCTCCCTCTAGGGCGTCTTTGGGCACCCCAAGCGCGCCTGGTGGTGTGAGTGTGGGAGGAGGGTGCGGGTGTGGCCGGTGGAGAGCTTTACTGTTTCCCCAAATGGGAAGGGGTCCCCATATCCCCAGGTGGAAAGAGGGTCCCGTCTCCCCACGGGGTTAGAGGTCCCTCATCCCCCTGGGTCTGAGGGGTTCCGGACCCCCCCTCACCAGCGCCCCAAGCGGCGGGCCTGGAAGTGTACCTTTGTGCAGGCACAGTCAGGTGGGCAGGGTCAGTCTGTGGCCGGGGGCGGCGACGGGGGCTCATCAGCCTCTTCTGGGCCAGGTGAGTACTCTTCCCCTTTGAGTGGTGCTGGGTTGACCTGGGCTTTCCGCGCCGGCCTGTCTGCCTGCCGTTTAGGAAGAGGCCGCGCTCGCCGCTTGCTGGTGGCTTACAGGGGGTGCCCTCCCTGACATTGACCCCGCCACTCCCTCTAGGGCATCTTTTGGTGCCGCAAGCGCCCCTGGGGGTGTGAGTTCGGGTGAGGGTGAGGGTGTGCCCTGCAGAGAGCTTTATCGTTCCCCCAAAGGGGAAGGTGTCCCCGTACCCACAGGGGGAAAGAGGGTCCCGTCTCCCCACGGGTTTAGTGGGCCCTTATCCCCCTGCGGGCTGAGGGGCTCCGGACACCGCCTCACCAGCGCCCCCTCGCGGCGGCCCTGAGAAGTGCACCTTTGTGCAGACAGAGTCCGGTGGGCGGGGTCAGGCTCCGGCCGGGGGCAGCGCCATGGGCTCTTCAGCCTCTGCTGGGCCAGGTGAGGACTCTTCCCCTTTGAGTGGTGCTGGGTTGCCCGGGGCTTTCCACGCCGGCCTGTCTGCCTGCCGTTTTGGTAGTGGCCGCACTCGCCGTTTTCCGGTGGCTTACAGTGGGTGCCCTCCCTGACAGTGACCCTGCCCCTCCCTCTAGGGGGTCTTTGGGCGCCCCAAGCGCCCCTGGGGGTGTGAGTGCGGAAGGAGGGTGCGGGTGTGCCCCGCGGAGAGCTTTACCGTTCCCCCAAATGGGAAGGGGTTCCCGTACTCCCAGTGGGAAGGAGGTTATCGTCTCCCCACGGGGTTAGAGGGCCCTTATCCCCATGGGGGCTGAGGGGCTCCGGAACCCCCTCACCGGCGCCCCCTAACGGCCGCCCGGATAAGTGCTCCTTTGTGCAGGCAGAGTCCAGTGGGCGTGGTCAGGCTCCGGCCTGGGGCGGCGAATGGGGCTCATCAGCCTCTGCTGGGCCAGGTGAGGACTCTTCCACCTTGAGTGGTGCTGGGTTGCCCGGGGCTTTCCGCGCCAGCCTGTCTGCCTGCCGTTTTGGAAGAGGCCGCGCTCGCCGCTTGCCGGTGGCTTACAGGGGGTGCCCTCCCTTACAGTGACCCCGCCCCTCCCTCTAGGGCGTCTTTGGGCGCCGCAAGCGCCCCTGGGGGTTTGAGTGCGGGAGGAGGATGTGGGTGTGCCCGGCGGAGAGCTTTACATTCCCCCAAAGGGGATGGGGTCCACGTACCCCCAGGGGGAACGAGGGTCCCGTCTCCCCACGGGGTTAGAGGGCCCTTATCACCCTGGGTGCAAGGGGCTCCGGCCCTCACTCAACACGCCCCCTAGCGGCGGCCCTGAGAAATGCACCTTTGTGCAGGCAGAGTCCGGAGTGCGGGGTCAGGCTCCGATCTCCGATCGGGGGTGGCGCCTGGGGCTCATCAGCCTCTGCTGGGCCAGGTGAGGACCTTCCCCTTTGAGTAGTGCTGGGTTGCCCGGGGCTTTCCGCGCCGGCCTGTCTGCCTGCCGTTTTGGAAGAGGCCACGCTCGCCGCTTGCTGGTGGCTTACAGGGGGTGCCCTCCCTGACAGTGACCCCGCCCCTCCCTCTAGGGCGTCTTTGGGCGCCCCAAGCGCCCCTGGGGGTGTGAGAGTGGCAGGGGGGTGCGGGTGTGCCCCGCGGAGTGCTTTACTCTTCCCCCAAAATGGGAAGTTGTGGCGGCCCCTGAGAGCAATGTGACTATTGCCACAATTTCTCATTAAAACAGAGTGGCTGTGCTGTTATGGTTCATAAGTCCCTATTCCCCTGTGTGCTGGACTGGACAGTCAATGACGGGTAAGATCAGAAAGCAGTTTCTGACAACCTAAGAGAGACGCAGTCCCCAAGGGGATTTAATGGTTCCCACCTTTCACCTATGGAAATTAACTAGGAAAACAGGCCTGGAAGATGTTGAGGCACAACCAAGTCATGTTGTTAATCATTACTAGGCAGTAGTCTCACAATAAAGGAATGCATTATGGCAAAGGAAACTGGTTCTATTATTTTCAGTAAACGTGTAACCAAGGAATAATAAGTAGAACTATAGGAATAATAAGTAGAAATGGGAGCTATAAAAGTAAGATTATGATAGGTATGTATAATCATAACAGTGAATTGCAAGACCTAGAACAGACCTCCACTGAGGGGGGTAAAATATGTAATGTTCTTGATTTGTTCCTGATTTCTTGGTAAATAATAAACAAGATATTATGTTATTCATGGTTCACTGCATTTACGAACAATCTGATAATGATTAACCACATACTGTGAAAAACATAATGAAGCAATCACTGTGAAAATGTATAAAAAGAGATGGCTGATCCTAATAAATCACACTCAGATCTTCACTCTCCCTTTAGTGTGTCTGTGTGTCATTCTTGTCCCTCGCCCTAATTCCTTTGACCACCCTTTGCTCATTCTCGCTCAAACCCTGAGATTGTCTCAATCTCCCGCCGCTGCTGGGCTGGTCCGCGGCAGGTGGCGCCCAACGCGGGACTCGAGTCCTTAAATTGAGTAGGGGCTCTACGAAGCTGGAAGATTCGACATTCTCTACTTTTGTGTGATTGAGTGTTGAGTGCTTTCGTGTGTGCGTGTATTTACGCTCCAAGACTCTTTTTGAGTCGCGGAGCCTGTGTGGGCTCATACCTGCAGTTCCGCAAAAGCCACTAAGGTTTAGTGGGTTCTCCTTAGGGAGTCCGAGACCGGGGCTTGTACGGTCACCCCTATACCAAGGCTTTCTAATACTCCGCGAGGAGTATGGTCAGGCGAGCATCGTTGAGTGTCTTTTAGTTTCGCTTTTTGGCGAAAAACCTTTCAGGTACTTCCTTGTAACAAGAAGACGTGTTTAGAAGAATGAGCTCTGGGTAAGCTATCTCTTTACTTTTGTTTTCATATTAAATTTTAATCGAAGGATAGGGAATCTCGTCAGGGCGCCGCGGGCTCGCTGGTAAAGGCTGACCAGTTACAGAAGACGAGTAATCTTGTAAAATGGGACATTCTCAGTCTAGGGACAGAGGACTTTTCCTCTCAGTGTTAAGTCATATGCTAAAAAGCCGAGGGATGACGATTAGTAATAGATCCCTTAGTGAATTTTATGAGTTTATTCTAAGAATATGCCCATGGTTTCCGGAAGAGGGCAGTCTCTCATTGACTAACTGGAAGAAAGTGGGCAAAGAAATTAGAAAATTTTACAATCAAAATTGTTCAACACAGGTCCCTGTTCAGGCCTTTTCCCTTTGGGTGCAAATTAGAGATCTTTTAGTAGATACTACAGAGGCGGATTTATGGAGGGGAGAAATATCTGATGAGAGTAGTGAGCAAGAAACGCTCCCCTTTGCAAATCCGGCCAGAAATTATTTGGGTGCTGCTCCATCTACACCAAATGAATATGAGGATATGGTGGCTGAACAACCACAAGATCCAGAATATGTGGAAGTTGGCTTGGAAGATAATAATAGCAATATTGATGAAGCTATCAATGAATTTTTTAGGGATATGAATATTAGGTCATCATTGCCTTCACAGACTTTTCCTACGGCTCCTCCTAATTCGTTGCAAATTGTACCACAGAGACCCAATGTTCCTCCGCTAAGTGGAGGAATATTTTGTGCTGCACGAGAAGCCCGGGAACAGGGTGATTTTTCCTTCACCTTTCCGGTGGAATACTGGGAAGGTCAGGGACCGACCTGGGAGCCAATCTCTTTAAAAACATTGAAGGAATTGAAGGAAGCTGTAAGGACAACGGGGCCCAGTTCTCCTTACACCTTGCAAGTTGTTGATTCTTTACGTGTTTCTTATCTCATACCTTTTGATTGGTACCAGACGGCAAAATCTGTCCTGGCTCCTGGGACATATGTCCTTTGGAGAACAGATTATGAAGATCGTGCAGCTGAACTTATTAGAAAATCCATTTTTATTAAAGATATGAAACCTACTTTGCCTATGCTGAAAGGAACAGGTGAATATGCAAATGTTAGGGAACAATTGAAAATACCAAAGGAAATTCTCAATGAAATTGGGATAATGGCAGTAGCTGCTTGGAAAAATCTGCCACCCCCAGCTGGCAGTTCCACACTGCTGGCAGGAACTCGCCAGCGGCAGGAGGAGCCACATGAAAACTTTGTGGCACGTTTAGAAGAAGCTTTGGACAGAATGCTTCCAAATACAGAAGCAAAAGAAATGCTATTAAAGCAATTAGCCTCTGAAAATGCAAATTCTCTGTGCCAAGAATTAATTAGACCAATTAGAAAAACAGATACCATCCAAGACTTTATTAAAGCATGCATGGATGCCAGCCCAGCAGTTATTCAAGGGTTGGCTTATGCTGCAGAAATGAAAGAGCAACAATTTTCTTCTTTTGTGCGATCAATGCCAAAAGGCAAGAAAACGGCAAATGCTCCGATTTGTTTAATTGTCAACAACCTGGCCACATGAGTAGAAATTGTAATAGAGCCAATAACAAAGGAAAAAATTTTGGAAATTCTAATTTGGCTCCAAAACCTTGTCCACGTTGTGGCAAGGGCAATCATTGGGCAAATAATTGTCGTTCCAAATGGCATAAAGATGGTCATAAATTAGAGCAAAATGATGAAATGTCAAAAAACTCTCAGAGGGGCAAGCCCTCAGCCCCGTAAATGAAAGAGGGTCTGATTTGGCGCTCAAAGATACTGTAAAAACTGAAGCGCCTGACTCTACTGTGACTATACATGATTTACCTAGAGGCACTCCAGGAAGTGCCAGGCTTGATCTTGCATCCGTGGCTGATATAATTCTTTCAGCCATAGATGGGGTTACGCCTATTGAAACTTATTTAAAAGGGCCACTTCCTCAAGGAACGGTAGGGCTTATAATTGGCCGTAGCTCAAATTATAAAAAGAATTTTGAAGTACTTCCAGGTATTATAGACTCTGATTTTGAGGGAAAAGTCAAAGTTATGATTAGACCTTTGAAGGAAACAATACAAATTCACAAAAATCAGCGTATTGCACAAATTCTTGTGCTTTCTTATGTTAAATTACCTAATCCAATTTTAAAGGAAAATAGAGGAGATAAAGGCTTTGGGTCCACAGACGTGGTTGCTTTGACTCAAGTATCACAAAAGAACGACCATTGAAAAAATTGATTATCAATGGACAACCAATTATGGGATTGTTAGACACTGGAGCTGATAGATCATGTATTGCAGGCAAAGATTGGCCTGCGGCATGGCCAGTGTTAAATTTTTCCTCTACTCTGATTGGATTGGGCATGGCCAATAATGTTGCTCAAAGTTCACAAATGTTGTCTTGGCAACTGGGATCACAGAAAGGTTTGTTTCAGCCTTATGTGATTCCTGCTTTGCCGTTTTCCCTATGGGGACGTGATATTGTGGAATCCTTGCAAGTGTCTCTAGTTACCCCCGATGTAATTGATGAACAGGCTTTTTTATAGGGGCCATTGAAACTCAAAAATATGCTGATAAAATTAACTGGAAAGATGAAAATCCTGTCTGGATCGATCAATGGCCCCTTACTTCAGAAAAGATCCAGGCTATTCAAACTATAGTTCAAGAACAATTGGCTAAAGGTCATTTGGAACCGTCTACAAGTCCTTGGAATACTCCTGTTTTTTGTATAAAGAAAAAATCTGGTAAATGGCGTCTTCTGCAGGACTTAAGGGCAGTTAACGCTACAATGCAAGATATGGGTGCCCTACAACCAGGGTTACCTTCTCCTGTAGCAGTTCCAAAGGACAATTATGTTATTATCATTGACTTACAGGATTGTTTCTTTACAATTAAATTACATCCAGATGATTGTAAAAAATTTGCCTTTAGTATTCCATCTAGTAATTTTCAAAAACCATGGCAATGCTATCAATGGAAAGTTTTGCCACAAGGTATGTAAATTCCCCTACTTTATGTCAAAAATTTGTTGATCAGGCACTACAGGAAACTAGATCAAAGTATCCAAATGCATATATTATCCATTACATGGATGATATTCTTTTGAGTCATCCTGTGAGAGAAATTGCAGATTTAATTCTGACTCATTTAATAGAACAATTGATGGCATATGGCCTAGTAGTGGCCCCAGATAAAATTCAAAAAGACAGCCCATTGAATTATTTAGGGAAAGTTATATATAATGATTGCATTATGTCACAAAACTTACAGATTCGCATTGACAAATTACAAACTTTGAATGATTTTCAAAAATTATTAGGGAACATAAACTGGATATGGCCATATTTAAAAATTACTACTGGAGATTTACATCCGCTTTTTGCAATTTTACAAGGAGATTCAAATCCTATATCTCCTCGTAATTTGACTCAAGAAGCATTGCAAAGTCTTAAATTGGTTGAACAAAAAATATCTGAAGCTAAAGTTATTCAGATTGATTATTCAAAAACATGGGATTTATTAATTATTCAGACTACTTATACTCCAACAGCTTGTTTATGGCAAGAAGCCATCTTGGAATGGTTGCATTTATCACATGTACAAACACGTGTGGTAACTGCATATCCGTCTATGTGTGCCTGGTTAATTATGAAAGGCATACTGAGATCTCGTGAATTGTTTGGTAAGGATCCAAATAATATTGTAATTCCATATAACAAAGCACAATTTGAGTTTTTGTTGCAAAATGATGATGATTGGGGAATTGCCATACAAAACTTTACAGGACAAATTAAATTTCATTTACCCCAAAATCCATTAATTAAATTTGTGGAAGATACATCAATTATATTTCCTTCGGTTATCAGTATTGAACCACTGCATGATGCCACACTTGTCTTTACTGATGGTTCTTCATCAAGCATATCTGTTGTCTATAGTCCTGGTAACGAGCCGATAAGAAAAATGACGTCTGATATTTCTGCTCAGCAAGCTGAGATTATTGCAGTTATTATGGCTTTAGAAAGTTACACTCAACCTTTGAATTTGTATTCTGATTCCAAATATGTTGTATCATTGTTTCCTTCGTTGGAAACTGCTCTTTTATCTGGAACAACACATATTCTGCCATTATTATCTAAATTACAAAATTTGGTTCACCAAAGATCTGAAAAACTCTTTATTGGACATATTCGAGGTCATACAAATTTACCTGGGCCTTTAGCTTTAGGGAATCATATGGCAGATTTATTAACAAAAGATGTTTTAATTGGCTCTGTTGAATTGGCTCAACAGTCATCAACTGCATCATCAAAATGCTCAAGCACTGCGACATGCATTTAAAATTACTCAAGAACAAGCTCGGGCTATTGTGAGAAATTGTGAACATTGCCCTGATATTCATCATCCATTAAAAATGGGAGTGAATCCCAGAGGTTTAAAACCTCTGGCTTTGTGGCAAATGGATGTCACTCATTATTCCTCATTTGGAAGGCTGTCATTTATTCATGTAGTAGTGGATACTTTTTTTCATGCTGTATATGCCACAGCCAGAACTGGTGAAGCTGTACGTGATGTGGTTCAGCATCTTATAGCATCCTTTGCAGTTCTTGGGAAACCTATGAAATTAAAAACTGACAATGCTCCAGCTTATACTGCAAAGGCATTCAAATTATTTTGTCAACAATGGAAAATTGATCGTGTTACTGGTATACCTTATAATCCTCAAGGACAAGCTGTAATTGAGAGAACTCACCAAACTTTGAAACATCAATTAGATAGATTGCATTCTGCAGCTCATTTTTCACCGCATCACCAGCTTCAACACGCTCTTTTTGTCTTGAATCATTTAAATGCAGATGAAAATGGAATGACGCCTATGATAAGTCATTGGGGTACTGTGCAATCTGATCCCCTGCCACTAGTTATGTGGCGAGACTTACTTACTGGAACTTGGAAAGGGCCGGATGTACTGTTAACTGTGGGTCGAGGCTATGCTTGTGTTTTTCCACAGGATGCCGAGACGCCCATATGGATTCCAGACAGGCTCATCTGTCATCGATCACGGCAGGCGGGCACAACGTCGCCGTCGCCTGGTTGCGTCGATCCGGAGAATGAGATAAGCTTATCTGGAAGCGATGTTCCAGAGGACGGGGTGTGCGGAACCTCCCCAGAATCCTAATCTTCCTACAGCTGAGCAGCTTCTTCGTCTTCTGCGAGTGGCTGAAGCCTTGCTTCAAAGAATGAATCAGCCTATTGGACCTACTTTAATTCTTATGGCCGCTTTAGCCATAACAGGAGTTCCAGTACAGGCTGAGACATATTGGGCCTATATGCCAGATCCGCCGTTATTGCATCCTGTCAGCTGGAATGAAGAAACACCAATTAAGGTGTATGTCAACAATACTGACATAATGGGTGGACTAGCAGACTTTCATTCTAAAGCAGAAATGTCAGCTCCTTTTAACTATGAAGGACTTTCTGATGATACACCTATATGTTTTGCTACTATGACTCCTGTCCCACAGACATGCATGATGCTTTCTACTAGAACAACTTTTACTGACTCTCCTCCAACAAATGGAAAAATTGGACGTAATATTTGGGTTTTGCGTTTTGCTTATTTGAGCTTTCCTGTTGATATTTATAGTAAATACACAGCTGTCCCTGATTTTTCTTTACTTTTCCGTAACTGTAATCAAACTTATAGGGATAGAGATCAGTTCTGGGACTCTTTGGTGAAGAATCCGGATTGGCTTAATTGTGGCTTTCCAAAAGCGTCACAAATGTCTCCACCCGGAACGTCTGAAGAACTATATGACTTTTCCATTAGTCATTCTAAACCACGGTCCACTGCCTACGGGTGGGCTTGGTGGTGGTTTTCTCCAGGATGGGTGGCTCCTTCTTTGGTCATTCGACCTGCTGCTTCAAAGAAAACTATAATTCAACCAGACATTTTTCGACTTACGGCTGCTGCACAAAATCTACAATGGCAACCTCCATCGAAAAAGCCTATCGATGTAGGCCTTCGTGCATGTGTAGGATATCCTTATACTTTGTTATTAGGTAATGTTAATAATGTGAAAATTACTCATACAAATAATTCTTATTCTGTTAAATGTTCACAATGTATTTTGACTAATTGTCTATCTCCTGATAGGGACAGAAAAACCCTGAATGTGATCCTTGTTGTTAAACATCCTTCTTATGTTATGGTTCCTGTTGATTTACAGGATATGACTTGGTATGATGATCCGGCTTTGCAAATGTTTAAAGAAATTAATGCTTTAATTAGACCAAAAAGGTTTATTGTTTCTCTGTTCCTGGGAATTGCTGCTTTGATAGCAATTGTTACTTCACTTGCAGCCTCGTCTGTTGCCCTGGTGCAAGAAACTCATACAGCACATTTTGTTAATGACCTCACACAAAATGTAACTTTAGCACTTGCCTTGCAACATTCCATTGATAAAAAAAATGGAACAGAAACTTAATGCCTTGGAGGAAACAGTACTGGCTTTGGGAGAAGAAGTTCAGCAAATTAAGAGACTTCTCT